ATAGGTACCAAATTGTATCTTGCCAATGATCCATGAATCCATCAATAAAAGTGGATTTGGATCAAATGGATTGGATTAGTTGAATATTTAAGTGGATGTATTGAGTTGGATTATAAATTTTCAACTCTACGTCCAACCATGGTCGGCGACGTGTCTATGTCACCTCACCGGCTACGGCCAGACGCGTACTTCACACATTGTCGGCCATGGTCAGACTTATATTTGGCACGTCATCAGCCTTCTCCTCATCGGCAATCACCTCTCTGGCACAGTGGCCGGCAAGGGTGGCCGGTGTTTGGCGAGGGTTGTGGTTGTCGGAGACCGTGGCAGGAGAATGGTATGATTGGAAGGGTAGGATTGTAAAATTCTTTTATTAAGAGTATTAGTGAAATAGAGCTCGTAAAAAAAATCTAACATCAATCTGCTCATACAAATTATCCATACAAAGACAATAATCTAGCCCAAATCCTAGCCCAGCCCAAACCCAACCCGCAATCTATCAACATGAATTTTATCCGTGGGTCGAGTAAATTCAAACCCAACCCAATGACTACATCCACAGAAAATTCAGAGAAAAATCCAACAGTTCTAAAACCCCAAACCCAACTCACCCCAACGCCACTGGACATTCGTTGGTTCATTGATACCTACAAATTATAATAGACAAAAATGCATAACACCAATCTTCTTTCAAAATAAATATCTAACATCAATCTGCTCATACAAATGATCCATACAAAAACACTAATCTAGCCCCAATCCCAGTCCAGCCCAAACCCAGCCTACAATCTATCAACGCGAATTTTATCCGTTTTACCTAGATTGAGTCGAGTAGTATAGCCGGATTGGGTTTTTTTATCATCCCTAAACCCATCTCGACCATCTTTGCCACCAACCATCGGACGCTAAGTATGGGAGCCGGTTTCAAAATCATCCCTGGAGGAGGGCAGCGGAAGGGAACCCCTCCAAACACACCTCCCTGGACCAAACGTCTTTAGCATCACCGCACTCACACCACAGAACATGCATAAGATTGATCATTCGATCAGTGAAAGAAACCAGACTTCTGTCTTCGAGCTCTCCAAATCGGGTCCAAGCCAAGGGCACTTGCATCTACGAGTCACCGAGATCTGTAGGGTGAAACAAAAGGAGGTAGACGAGAGGGAGGGGGAGGGGAAGACAAGTTGGACGTTTTTACGATCAACCTCCTTTGCCACATTAGACACAACATCTCCAGATCTGGTAAACCAAATCAGAGGGACAAAAACAGAACCCACAAGGGGAACGGAGAGAGGAGACCACATATGGCCGAAAATAAAGCCTATTCATGGCTGGAGAAGAAGATAATCTGGAAGAAATTGCAAGGGAAATATAAAGAAAAGCAAGGAAAATAGACGATGGAAAGGGGCCACCACCGGCCTCTTGAAAGCACCGGCGGCAGCCCACAGATTTCATATCTGAAAAGTTTTAGTGAGAGGGGAGAGATTCTGAAATGTAGACAGAGGAATAGATTTGTGTAGATTAGTTTGAGTAGAAGGAGTTTTTAAGTTGATCTTTGTTTCTTCAAATGGTTCTGACTAGATTTGGTGGTATAAGGAGCTAAGAGGGACTTCAAGTGGGAGTTTTGAGCTTTTGTCAGTGGTTCGAATGGGTGTAAACTCTAGATTGTAAATTTATTGGTACTAGAATTGAATGATTGTTGATTGATGGTTTATATTGTTGATTTGGTAATTCAAAGTAGCAACTTTTAACAAGTGAGATTGGTTTTCTTAATTGATTTGATTTGTCAAATGTTGATATCAAGAGAAATACAGAGCAGGTTAGGGTTGTGATAATTAGAGTTGCCGAGCAGGTGTCTCCAAAAAAAATTAGCCATTAGAGACGGTCGGTATCCTTTAGTGACGGTTGGAGTCGTTGCTAAATATTTATTATATTTATGAAATAATCATTTAGCGACGGCTGCCTTGAAATATTGTGTCGGTTACAGGCGTTGCTAAATTTTTGCTGACAGTCGGTGCGACGGTCGACCAAAACCGTTGCCAAATAATTTAAGGACAGTGGGGTCAATGACGGTTGATTGGCTGTCATTATATATTTTAGCGACATTTATGACCGTCACAAAAAGTCCACATTAACTTCGCTAAAACACCGTTTTGTTGTAGTGTAAGAAAGTGATGTTCTAACCGGATGCAATTCTTGGGTTGTCGATAATTTATTCAACATGTTGCTCTTTTGTGGTTTTGCTCTTAACCTACGGGGACTCTATCAGGACAAGTTTGTAGCGATATGTACTTGGCTAAAAATTTAGTTATTTGATGAAGTTAATAAGACAAATGATTTCTAATTGGACTTAGTGATGTATTTCCAGATAAGAAATGGCATTAGCATGTATTTACGTATAAGCATTCATATAATTTGGATCATGTAGAAGTCTAGGGTGATGGATCGATTTCGTTTATGAGATGTTTATTTGATCTTTATGAAGGTATTCATGTTAACCGATTGATTTTTACTTCACTCTTTTCTTCCCACGTGTATGGCGGTTGGATCGCCATTTCCTGCCAAGAGAGGAATATTAGAGTATGTGTAGTACGAATAGTATTGTGTTGTACTACGAGTACTGTTAAGTAATTTGTAAGAATTATATTCCTTATTAGAGTCGTAGAAGTTAGGTAATTTCCGTATTAGTGTTAGAGTTATTATTTAAGTCAGTCTCTATACTCTATATAAACCCTATGTGGTTTCAGTAATAATACACAACAATTTCCACCGTATTTTGATTTCTCAACAATGAATTTTATGTTTGGATCCATTTTACATGTTGTCGGCCCCTGCTTGACTCACTTTTGGATACAATCTCACCAAAATTGTATTCTAGACGAGTTATCTTAAAATTCTAGTGAGGTTTAATGGTGGCTATTGAAGAATCCATTTTGTTCTATGCAATGCCTCGGCCACTTTCCAAATATGCATGACAACCATCTTTCCTTGTTATATTGACGATATAGTGGAGGTATTCATGAACAATTTCTCCGTCTATGGGGATTTATTCGAACACTGCCCAAGAAACCACAAGCACGAACAACATCATCGATTTCTTTGAACTCAGACCCAAGACCATTCAAGGTACGAAGAACTAGATCGACGTTATCAACAAGAGCGCGACATGTGTGAGTTCCCCGACAAGTAGCTTGATTTCATAGAGATAAGCATAAAGAGAGAGGCTTCCACAGGAGAAGGTGTAGATTTTGTCTTTTAGACACAGGCTGAAAGCGAGAACACACATACGCTCGAGAATGGTCCAAGTAGCTAGAGCAGTGGCAGCGACATCGATGTGGGGCATGTGATAAAAATACGTGATAGCTTATTTTTGTATAGTTTTTTTTTTTGGAAACACGTGATAAAAATAGTGAATTTTAGTAGGAAAGAGACATGAATGATGCAATGAATCAAAAATTAGACTTATGAACCAAAATCAAGTATATGTTACCTTGTGAAACAATATTGTTTCTGGTAATATGATGAGGTGGAGTAAGTTTTATAGAAACTGAATTCCAGAAAATCGAATAAAAAATCGCCTATCCCGCCTGTTTTCGGGAAATGAGCATCTCACAATCGTTGCTAGCTTTTACTCGGCCGGTTGGCCAATTAATTTGCTTTATAAAACTTTCATCTTGTCATCATTGTGCTTTCTGGTTTTTTGTCAAGCAATGATAAAATCTAAAGAAATCAAGAATGAACAACACGATTTGGGATAGGAACCATCGTTCCTGTATCCCTAGAAAATGGTGGTAAACACGGACTTACCTGCCAAACTGGTTTGGGTTGAGATATTTATCGGGTATCAGGGAACCATGTGATTATAAATTAGACTTGATCAAAACGGGCCAAAACTTGAAATTCAGTCTGTTTGACCGACCTATGCCAAACTCTAATTATTCTTTAATTTTAAACTTTCTATTTGAAAATAAAAAATAATGAAAGAAAAGAGATGACTGCAATTCGCTATTTGCACATCACTCATTCGGGAATAAAACTATAGAATTTCGAAAGGAAAATGAAAATGTTTAGGATTGTTTTAATGTTAAAATAACCAAATAGATCTTTCTGTTTAGTTTTTTACTAACAAATACCAAACGATTCCCTATACTATACACTATAATTTAATCATTACGATATCAAATAATTACATAATATATATTTGAAATGATAAAAATTGGACTAATTGGGTTGGTCGAGGTTGAACCATTGAATAACTTTAAAATATATTATATTTTAGACACTAAGATATAAAATAATAGCATAATATATAATATACTAGAGAAAATAGCTTGTTTTAGAATGACAAGCTCATGATGTTCATTTGTTTTACTTGATGGGCAAATCCCGTGTAGGTCAGACTCATTCAACTCTTTTATTTTATGATTAGCGGTTAGCCCATTAGAATCCATGCATTAGTTTATTGTTAAATTTTCTTCTTTTTAGCAATAAAAGGAGTATTGTTTTTGCCTTTCCATATATATTTTACCACCACGGGGAAATAAAAGGACTTAAAGATAAAAAAAAGATTGACACTCCTGGACCCGTTTAAATCCACATGTGTACGGTAAGTTGGCCTGTTCCACAGAGGAAAAAGAAAAAAATTGACACTCCCTATTCTACCCTTCCTACAAACGCTCCTGGAGCTGGAAATTTGAAATGGGAAAATGGTTTTTTCCTCTCTGTGATTATATATTTTTAATTAAAAGAGATACAATAAATGTTCTTAGTGTGATTGGTTATGATCTTTGCTTTTCTTTAAAGTGGTCATGCTTCGAATCCTAGTAAGTGTTTTTTTAATGAATAAAAAAAGTAATAAAAAGAGGCTTCAAGTTTTCTCATTTGACTTTTATTTATTGGGTAGACTCTCATAGTATAAGAGACTTAATAGAAATCATAATCTTGTCAATCCACTAAAAAAAAATGGTTGGTTCATAGTTACATTCACTATACGTGACTGATTAATTAGAAGGTGAAAACCAACAATTATAACTTCCATTATAGGTGTCTCGCCACTTTTTGTGGTTCGGAATCGAACTAGGCCAGAAAGTGACTCTCGGTTGGAACAATTGGTCAGCTTGAAAATCGAAGCGTCGTATCCCTTTATCTCGATAGGCGAGAAATTTGAACTCTTTGTTTCTCATATCCCAGGACAAGATAGCAGATTCTTGATGAGGAACATCAAAAACAGACAAAAACACAACTTCTGACCGCTCATGATGTAAACCAATCACCCTTTGAAACCTCAAATCCGACACCTCAATCTCACGACCATCTTTGTTCTTGACAATAAACCTTACGTTCTCAGGGAACGTGAATTCATACTGTTTCCTCCAACTCCCTCCCCTTCCATTCTCCTCCAGTCTCCAAATACTCAGAATCGAATCCACATCCATCCAATGTTTGCAAACCAGGTGCAAAACACCTTCTAACACCCAAAGACCGTAGCACCTAATTCTCTGATCGATCTCACAACCATCTAGTAAAGTCGGAAGCGCAGCAGGGGAGGAAGGATCCCACTTTACAAGTTGCTGCAGATAATTCAACCAGTACAACTTCCCATGGGCTGAAACTACACGATAAGCACAAACACACCTCAATTCCCGATCGAGACGAAGAACGCTCTTCGTCCACCGCCCGGATCTCGAACAGAATATGTACACATCTACTTCTGCTTGCGATGCAGGGGGTGTAATCGGAGTATAGATTCGCACCACCCGGAATTGACAGGGGAACAATTGGTCCTCGCCCAGGGAATCAAACGGCTCGCGGACCAATTTCACGATCCATCCCAAACTACTGCTGCCGACCGGCGCTAAAGGAAGGGCCACCCATTGCTTCGTAAACGGATTGCAGATCAAATACGTCCGGCGCAACTCCTGGTCGGTTTCCCGCCCTTGGAACCCCAGCAATAGCAAGTCATTGATGCAATCGAGGACGGAGAACTCGGATTGGATTTGGGGACGGGAAGGGAGGAAGCTCAAGATCAATTGACGGACTTGTGAGACGGTCAGAACGGGCGATTCGGATTCTGCGGCGGACAGGGCCTGGTGGTGAGAGACGAACCGGCGGAGGAAATAGGGAGCGGAGATTAGAGAGTTCCACCGCCTGCAGACCGGTTTGCATCGGAAGGCGGATCTGTGGCCAGGAAGCCGGATGAGAATCTCTACGAGGAGATCTTCGTCTTCTCCGACTTTGCGGGTGGAAGAGCTGGAACTAATTACTTTTCTTATGGTGCACATAGCTGCGATCGATGGAGCTTTGCGAAGAAAAGCAGCGCCGGCAGTCGCCAGAGCGAGCGAGACAGACGCAGGAACCCTTTTTATATACTGGTTAGAGAATTAAACAATTTTATGTTTCCTTGGCTTTCTAGCCTTCTCCTAATCGGAATAAGGGGCTTTGGGCCTTGGGCCCAGACCTATCACATGCGTACATTAGATGGATAATAGATCTTGGCATCCGTAAGTTAATATGATTGTCAGGGTAATTAAGAGAAGATATGGAGGGAATTGACTGTTGAGAGTTGAGTAGGGTTGAAGTAGGAAGATTAAAGCAGAGGAGGAGGAGAAGATGAAAGGAATTGGTCTTTTGCATCCAGTGACGGAGGAGATTTCATCCAGCGACTATGGATCCAAAAGGGAAGCCAACCGCTAGGATTTGGTCTTTTGGACTGTGTTATGACTAGGGCTGTCGTTCGGGTCGGGTAACCGAACCCGAAAACCGCAAAAAATCGAGAAATCGAAACCGAACCCCACCAACCCGAAACCGAAACCGCCCAGATGCTTTGCGGGTTTCGGGTACAAAAAACCGAGAAATAACCGCGGTTTGGTTCGGTTCGGGTGAACCCAAAACCGAACCGGTTTGAAGGTTTTTTTATACTTTTGCTATTTGAATTTTATATTCTTTTGCTTGTACAAACACTTTTATTCTTATTATTTGTACATTCTTATTTAACCATTATGTTTAATTTTCTGGGACGTGGACATTATAAAACTAATATTTATATATTAGTTAATTATTAAAATATTAGTTCATTATTAAAATATTTAATTTTATGTGTTCTATAACTATAGACATACTATTAACTATTAAAGAGTATTACTAGTTTAGAGACAAAGTAAAATACTTAAACATATTTTACACGTAAATTAATCATATCTTATTTTGCTATGTTAAATAATACAACCTTTTGGGCCATTTAATTGTGGATTTTCATATAATTATATGTTTTAGTAATACCATAGGTCCAAAATTAAAGGTATATCAACTATCATATGCAAAAAAAAAATGTTTGGTGTTTGGCGCAAAATTATAAATAATTTTGTTAACATAAAATACTGACAATCATAGATGAGATTATCTTCAACTCGTAATTAAACACATTAGTTTTACAATTCTCAAATGATAACATCCAAGTAAAATAAAAATTCATCCATTATCCAAGATAAACACTACTACCATTATCACTCCTCATTAGGCTCTACATCTACATAAGTCTCATCATTCTCATCAGAATTGTCGTCGACATAGTCTTCTTCCACTTGTGACATAGTAGGACTCGAGACCAAAACATGGGTAGCAGGAGAGCTTCCACTAGATTCTGCACGAGAGCTTCCACTAGGTCCTGCAGGTGCACTTGAACTCCGAGGTTGAAAAGCTGCATATACGGGATAACATAAACAATAACAACTTGTTAGAATATGACTTGATCAAGATAACAAATATAAGAATAAAGAGAAAGATTAAGTCTTTACCATTTTGAAATACCACTTCATCACCCTCATCTTCTCCATCAGCCACCAACTCAGAGTCAGAAGATCTTATCCAATCTTCACAACAAATCAAAGCCTCCACAACTTCAAGGGATAAGGAGGTCCTAAACGAATCTAAAACTCGACCTCCTGTGCTGAATGCCGACTCAGAAGCAACAGTGGAAATAGGAACAGCAAGAATATCCCTAGCCATCTCAGAAATAGTAGGATATTTCATCCCACTTCGCGACCACCATCCCAAGATGTCAAACTTGTATTCATCCTCTTCTGAACCCACCAATGCTCGTGTAACCACTTCATCATCTTCCTCCTCCTCCTCAAGGTACCTATCAAACTCAGATTTGGAACTTTTTCTAGTTCCTTTCAGAATGGCCTCTCTTTTCATTTTCCTAAAATCACCCCAAATCTTCCCTTTCTTCTTCCCATCCCCACTTCCACTAGGTTCTTGCACATCTTCCTGAATTACAATGGGAGAACTGCCAGGAAGTCCGAGCCTATGCTTATAATGGTCAAACAGAAGACGCATTTCATCTTTCACCTCTTCGACCAAAGCTTTACCCCTGCTCTCACCATATACCTTCTTCAAAGCTTGTTCAAGATATTCAACTTTCCGCCTAGGATCTAATATGACTGCCATATAACACAACCGATTCATCTTGGAATTCTCCAACTCATCTTCAAACCAATACTTGGCAAGTTTGGACTTGATTCTCTCAGCCATGCAAGACACCTCAAAATCTATACCATCAGCCCACTCAGATATCATAGTGTACATTTCACATACCTCATCAAACAAGAGGTGTAAAGTCACATATGAAGTCCCAGAAACTCGAACAGTCAAATCATAGAATAGCTTCAGGTAATCAATCAACCTGCCCACACTAGACCAATCATCAGAAGTTGTGATACCAAGGCTTTCCATTCCATATTTTTTTTCATTGAGATGTTTCTTGAATTTCTTATCATTTCTAGCTAATGTCTGAAATGCTTTCTCAAATGGCTTTGCAGATTCCAACATCAGATACGTTGAGTTCCACCTTGTAGCTACATCCAACGAAACAAATTTCTTCGACACTATCTTTTCAAACTCAATGCAATCTTTAAATTTTCTGCTCCTAGCTGGTGTAGATTTAACCCACTTCACAGACTCTCTTACTCGCTCCACAGATTTACTAGTTTCTTTAAGCCCATCCTTCACAGCCAAATTAATAATATGAGCCACACACCTCATCTGCAGATATTTTCCATCCAAAATATCTGATCCCCACTCTTTCAACTGTTCCTTCATATGGATAGCAACCACATCATTGACACTAGCATTGTCCATAGTTATACAAAACACCTTCCTAATGCCCCACTCCACCAAACAACTAGCCAACTGTTTTCCAATTTCAATTCCAGAATGTTTTGTAACTTGGACAAAGTTAATAATTCTTTTATGCAATTTCCAATCTCTACCAATGGAATGAGCAGTAATGCACATATAATTGAGATTGGACAAAGAAGTCCAAGTATCAGTGGTGAGCGATACCATCCCTAAACACTTAGTCTTGAAATAGTCCTTCACCAACTCTCTATTTTCAAAGAACACCTTGATACAATCCTCTCTAACGGTCTGACGGCTAGGTAACACAAACATTGGACAAACACGAGCCATAAATCGTTTGAACTCTTCATGTTCAACATACCTAAATGGTAATTCATCTATGATAATCATCTCCGCTAAAGCTCTCCTAGCATCAATCTGATCGAATTTCCAAGTGCCAAGAGTGTGTACCTGGCCTCCAGAAGATGATAGATGGTCGACTATCAGCTCACCCTTTTCTATCTTTTCCAAACAACTATATTTATGATTCTGCAAAGTAGAAGTCCCATATGTAGTGGGAGCCATATAAACACCATTGCAATAAATGCATCTTGCTTTGTCCAACCCATCCTTCTTAAAACGCTTGAAGTGTGGCCAAACGTCAGACTTTTCTTTCCTTTTTCTTGAAATTGTCTCCTCGTCTATTGTTTGAGCAGGAGGTACATTGGTGGTACCGGTAGATGGTGCAGGAGCAGGATCGAAAGACGGTGCAGGAGTAGGAATTCTGGTACTCTTAGAGCGTCCTCCACGTTTAGGACGAGAAGCCGATGGTGCCTCACTCTCCCTGCCAAAATAAAACACGTGAGTTTAGAAGAACATAGTAGGATGGAATACTAAGTTCAACATGCTGTCGGAGGAAGCCAAGGTTGGGATGAATCCACAGATTTCAGCTCATGGGCCTCAGCCTAGAAGTTCAAAGTTTTGGTATGTTTTTCATTTCCTATCACTTGTTTACCCTCGCTCTGCATCTACTTTCAGGTTTCAACTCAAACTTAGACCTGATATAATGTACAATGCGAAATGTGGGTTTGCAGTGTTCACGGGGGAAACTATAGTAATTCAGTCAGCACCCGTAATCTGCCATTGACTTGACTTCATCAAGACGATGAACCTTCCCCAAACACGAAAGCTATTGATTGGTAAAACAGAGGACAAATCACATGGGAACAAGCTAAGCACAGAGATTTCTTGGAAACTCTGTCTCCAATTAAGACTTGTGAATTATATATACAAGTATAACAAGCAACTCCAACAACATTGTGATCATCATTGGTCTATAATTATCAATCCTGAAATATCGAGCAAATAGGCCAATTACAACGCTCTAGTACAGGGCATCAATACTAAGGCCATTCTTTACTCCTTATACCCAAACTAGACCTGAGTTGGAACAGGGCAACTCGCTCAATCCTTGAACTAAGCCTCTGCTGCTGCTGAAATGTCGGCTGAAACAAAACCACCAGATTCAGTACAATAAGGGTGAATGCTTTCACACTGGCGGGATCCACCATGGCTCCTCTCCTTTTTGTTTGTTATCGACAGTGAAGGAGCAACTCGAATACCCTTTTCCCCATATCAAATTCTACGTACCCATTCATCAAAAAACCCACAGAGAGAATTTAGCACTAGAAACGACAATATGGGATGAATATGACTTACTGGGATGCCATAGGTCTCAGTTCTGACTCTGGTTTGCCGATGAAAAGACTGCGGGAAATAGCTCTGGGTTTGAAGCTGTGGTGGGCACGCTGTTGGCTGAAATTTGGGAAGAAGAAAATCAAACGCAATGGGTAGCTGCCTTGCTGGGCAAATCGACAATTTCAAGGTCTCGATTTGCCTCTGTACTGCTCTCCGACAGCAAGATGGCGGCTACAGAAACCTAATTGAAGCCTCGAACCCAGATGGATTGCTGCATTGCTAGGAGGCGGAGGGAAGGCGAATCGGGAGATTGACGGCGGCGAGGACGTTGACGGCGGCGAGAAGTTGAACTGGTCGAGGTGAGAACTGAGAAGGGACTAGGAGAGGCTCTGTTTCGCGAAGCCTCGAGCACGAGCAGTCGCCAGTCGAAGTGTCGAACGAAACCTTCCCCCAAACTCGAACCCTA